GAGAAACTGAGACACAATACGTGCCCATGGTCATATGGCTAATAAGAAGGCGATATTGGAACCTGGCCATTTTGACGGCTAGTCCAGTATTCTTTCTACCAGTCAACGAACACTTATTAAATGCTTACAATGTACCAGGTATTGTGCCAAGGGTTGGAAATGTAAAGAAAGGCAAATACATGATCCCTGACCTCAGGGAGCTCATATTCTGATGGGGGAGACAACATAGACAGAACTATGAATATGTGATACATAAAATATAGTATATACTGCCTCTTCAAACAACAAGCACAACATAACTAGATTAATGGACAATACTTAAATAATAACTTATAATAATAATATGAATAATAAATAATAAATAATATAGTGCTTACTAGGTACCAGGCATTATGCTAAGCATTTTATAAATATTGTCTCATTTGATCCTCACAACAATCATGGGGGGAATGTATTATTGCCCCCATTTTACAGATGAGGAAAGTGAAGCAAACAGAGATGAAGTGACTTGCTCAGGGTCACACAGGATTTGAATTCAGATCTTCCTGACTCCAAGCTCAGTGTTGTATCCACTGCATCACATTGTTTCCATCTACACATCCCTAAATCTCCACATTTTGCTAAATAACTAAATGAGAACTAGTGGATAAAAAAAGGGGAAAAGGGATGGGAGAGGTCATCTAGTTCTATGTCATCATTTTACAGATAAGAAAATAGGTCTAAAGATTGCATGTGACCTGCTAAAGCTTATGCGGCTAAGCAGTGTCAGACCTGGAACCCAAATAGAGGGGTCCTTACCCCTTGTTGTCTCTCTGATGATATGAACATGACAACTCCTAAAATAATTAAATATGGTTGCTATTATTTAGCCTATTTTCCCCCTCTAGTCTAAATTATGGAGGCTAAATCCCTTTACATTTTCCCCCCCAGAAAGTCGATTTTCTATCTCTTTAATAGTTTTTATTGTTCCTTCTGGAATCCTTTGAAAAATGCCAGGAAACATGTGTTTATATATACTGTAAGATCTATGAAGAAGTAAGAGAACTGAAATTATTTTGTCCCAAAAAAGAGAAAACTGAGGGACAATCAAGAATCCTGTTGGTTTGCCTTGGGCTGATTAGAAAGGTTATAGAATTTCCTTTTTTGTTTGTTTAAAAATTAGGGAAATTCTCATCTATCTCTTGTGAGTTTGGTATGGTTCTTTCTAAAATTGGATTGTACCATTTTTGTTATACTAATGCAACCTAAACATGAGCAATTAAATGCTTTTCCAATTATCTAGGTCTATATTTCTGTAAATAGTGTTTTATGGTTAGATTTGTAGTCCCTGGAAGATAGACTTCCACGTTTTTCTATAGTTACTTTGAATGAAACGTCTCTTTCTAGATCTTCTTACTGGCTTTTGTTTGTTACATAAAGGAATATGGATGATTTATGTAGATTTACCTTATATCCTGCAACTTTGCTGAAGTTACTAATTACTTCAATTAAATTTTTAGTTGACTCTAGGATTCTCTAAGTATACTTAAATTATATTTAACATATTACAGAAAGGTAGATTTATTCCTATGATTTCAAGAGCTTTTAGAAATGAATGTTGGATTTTGTCAAAAGCCTTTTTGGCATTTATTGATGTAAACATGTGGGTTTTATTTATATTATTAATATGTTTTATTATTTTTACAATATTTCTTATATTAAACCAACCCTGCATTCCTGGTATAAACCCAGCCTGGTCATAGTGTGTAATCTTTCTAATATGTTGTTTTAGCTTACTTGCTAATCCAGGAAGAGACAGAAATAAAATTATAGACAATATTCAATAGAAATGTCAGCCTGCAATTTTCTTTCTGTCTCTTCCTGGATTAGGTATCAAGACTGTATTTGTTTCATAGAAAGAGATTGGAAGGGTGCTTACTTTTCTTATTATTGCAAACTTTGTATTGGAATTAATTATTCTTTTAATGTGTGATAGGATTTATTTGTGAATCCATTTGGTCTTGGAGTTTTTTCTTTGTGAGTTCATTTATTGTCAAAAAGGAAGAAAAAAATCAATTTCTTTTCTCAAGGATCTTATGTTCTACTGTATGAATAACACATCTGACACAAGTTACGTTTGTGAGAAAAAAAGTTTTTAAAGTTGGATATTAGAGAAGCATTGCAGCGTGGCGGGCAGAGGGCTGGTCCCAGAGTTAGGAAGACCTGGGTTTAAGTCCTATTTCTGATACATGCAAACTTCAGGATGGGGCATGTCCCTTAAATTCTCAATGCCCCAGGCAACTATCTGACACTATAAATTACAAAGCAGGAACTTATTTACATTGGCAGAGGAAGTTTCCTGAATGGAAACTTTCTAGGAGTTTTCTTGCCAGTGAAATCACAGGTCTGGCTCCACCAGCCTTCTCTCCAACAACTTTTCTTCAATATGTTACACATTTTAGGAAATTACATGATTGTGAATAACTTCAGACTAAATGAATTGGAGAAGGAAATGGCAAACCGCTCCAGTATCTTTGACAAGAAAACCCCAAATGGGGTCACTGAAGAGTCGGAGGTGACTGAAAGACTGAACAGTAACAAAGTTTATAAACTAACAAAATTTATTTGAGTGATTTTTTTATGTTTCTATATTGACTACTACTTACCACTTCTTGACCTTAGATCTCCTGCCTAAGGCAGTGTAGTGTTGTAGTTATTTTGAGGACTTAGTTTATCCATATGTAAAATGTTGGGCGAGATGGTTTCTCTGTCCTTTCCCTTTCTGAATCTTATGATGCTATGATCTTTGATGAAAAGCTCCTTTCCTAATAATGATTCTCTCTTTCATGTAAGCAAAAACAATTTTATGTATACACAATGCATTTGTGAGTGTGGATAAATAGAAATTCATTGGTACCCATTAGGACAGCTTCTCCCAAGGTGGAGACAAAAAGGGAGGGCAGCTAACTGCATCATTAAGCCAATCAAATGTCTCACCATTTCCCCCCTTGTAGGAATCACTGTGCCCAGTGGCCTCATCCTTGTGGTCTGTGATCTGGACCCCTGTCTCCTGGGACACCACTTCACAATGACTCAACCCCTTCTTCTCCCTACCCCTGGGTCTTCCCTGGGTTTTATTTTGGAGTCTTCCCACAAGACCCTTCGATCTCAATGGCAGGGGCAGGGACAGGGACAGAATGTGGGAATCTAGGGAGCCTCCTGTCTCACAGATCAGGTGCCGTCCTAAAGTCTCTCTGCCTCCTGAGGGCATGACGGGCTACTGAGTTTTATAATAAAGGTGACATTTATATATCACTTCACATACATTAGCTCATTTGATGCTCACAAAAACCTGTTATTCTCATCTTATAAATCTGAAGACTGAGGCTCAAAGACATATCACCTGCAGGTGGGACAACTAGAAAATGTAGGAAGTGGTCTTGGAACCCAATTCTTTCTTCCTCTCAATCCCTGCTCTTATTTCACTGCAATGTCACATTTCATTCTGTTTCCATTCCCTGTTGCATTCAAGAGGTGGTAACAAGGCTGCTTGATTGAAAAAATTGATCAACAGAAAGACCATCCCTTTGTCCCCAGACCTGGGCTGCCGTCCCGAGCATCCCAGTGTTGGTGCCCCACTCCTGGTACCTAACATCTTCCTCCATCATACCCACAGTGAATTCTCAGACTGAGGATCCTAAGCACTTGTCTGGGTCACTTGGTGGGCCAGAGTATATGATGGTTTGCTCTTCTTGTTTGTGGAACAGCCAGTTTTCTTCTGACAAGTATTCCAGTTGGGTCTATTTTCCTCAACTGTTTGCCCAAGCTCTTCCTGGAAGTTAGTGTCCTCTTGCATACAACTGCATTCTTGACTTACAGCACATGGTCAGTGGGTGCCAACTCTTTCCTGCTTCCCTGTTGCAAGTTGGACGACAAAATATCACACCTCCCTATTAGTGGGGTGGAAATTTCAATAGCCAACCAGAGCTGTCAGGTCCCAGGTTTATCTAGTGCTCAAATTATCCACAGATACTTGAATATCAAAACTGGAAGCAGAAATGAAACACACCAGCAGAAACATTCACTAATGTGAACACCAAGAATTGTTGAGGACTTCCCCAAGTCAAGGTCATAGGAGAGAGCTGGGGATGCCCCGGGGAAGCGAGAAAGTCTGCTGCTCCCACTATATGCCTCAGTAGAGCTTTGCTTTAAGGGCCAGCCAGATTGCACTGGCCACAGCCCCTCCTGCTTTCCAAGGGGATTTACTTACTGGTCAGAAGATGCAAGTTGAACAGGCTAGAAGAGAGTGGCTGAAGTTAATGTGGATAAATTCAATTTTGCTGTTTCCAAGAATGGCCTTGATAAAATAAAGGCAGGAAATTTAATTGCCTGAAGGTTTAAGTAAGTGCTTATTAATTTTTTTAGTACCTAGTTTAAAAGGTCAATAGCAATACAGAGTAGGGGAAATTGCTTGGTGTCTGGAAAAGGCGATTTAACTTTTTAATTGGGTCCTTTGGTATCATCACCTTGCCCTTACCAAGAGGTATGTTACTGACTGTATATCCAAGGTATTTTTCTATTATAAACCTTCATTAGATGGGAATTCTAAAGCCATTCTCATGGGAAGGGAGCATGAGCAATAGGGCAGTGGCTCTTTCATGTTTGTCTTTATATCTCCAGTGCCTGGAAAATAGTAGGTGCTTAATAAATGCTTGTTGCTTGTTATACCTGAGCATATGTGGAACAGGTGGAATGAGGTATCTTGAAACAGGTGTCAATTGTTATCAATCTGAAGATGTATCTATTATCTGAGTTCTGCTAAGTGAGCTGGGGACCTAAAGACCCTCAAAGAGGAACTTCTTGGAAAGTCTCCTGGGGATCAAGGTTGAATAATAATAACACTAATAGCTAACACTCATATCGAACTTTAAAATTTGCAAAGCACTTTACATAAATGGTCTCATTTGATCCCCACAACAGCCTTGTGAAGTAAATGCTATTATTATATACCCATTTTACAGATGAGGAAACTTAGGCTGAGAGAGGTGGAATGAGTTGCCCAGATTCACATAGTGAGTGTCTGAAGTAAGATATGAAGGTGAATCGCTGCTAATCCCAAGTCTGCTCTACCGCCTAGCTGCCCAGAATTGGAGAAGAACCAAAAAAGGAGTTGGTCTGGGGAAGTTGTCCTGGTAACACGTAAGTAGTAGAGTCATGATTTGAACCTAAGGCCTTTTGTTCCAAATCTGTACCATGCTAGTTACAATGGAGAAGCCAGCTCCACCACAAAGGGCAGAACCAGATGTAATATTCACTAGTGACTTTGTTTAGAAAAACCATCCAGGAGAGATGAGGGAAGGGCAAGAGAGAAAGAACGATTCTAGGTCAGGATCCATTGAATCCTCTAGGATGATGAAGTAAGATGGTGCTAGGTCGGTGTCAGAGTCCTGAGTCCTGGGGAGGAATCTCTGGATGTGAGATAGGAAAGGGTTTGGTGTTTGGATTTTTTGTTGTTGTTGTTGACATGCAATGGGTAAGGATAGAAACTTACTCGGACCATAATCATTGGGATCAAAATTGATCTTAAGCCCTGGAGCTGACTTGTTGGGGGAGGGGAGCAGAGAAGGAAGTGTCTGATATAAACCTGAAGCTCTTGCATCTGGGGTTGAGGCTTAGGAACCAGAATCAAGAAGGCAACATACAGTCTTTGTCAAATCATAGCTACCTAAGCCAGAAGCTAAATTTTTGGTCTATCACCCAGCCTAGCAGATGTATAACTAGGGTAAGGCAACTAAGAATTTGACCCAAAGCATGACACCAATGGGCACATTCCCTCCCTGAACCATGTGATTTTTTCCTGACACCGGGCCACCACTACCTTCACATCCTCATCTAGCCCCTGGCTGCCATCTTGTATCTCATTGTTTGTATCTCTTTCTTTGGAACCTTCTTTTTCTCATTCTTTCTTCTTTTCACTTTTTCTTCTTTATTTTTTTTTCTCTCTCATTGGCCCTCCATTTCCTCTTGGAATTGGGGGATGTTGAAAACCATTATCTATGCAGCTAGGATGTGGATCAGATTCTTTGGGGAATGATTTCCTGCTCTGATGGCCCAATTACATTTGGGCAAAACTTCACTCTGCATCCAATTGAATTTTCCCTGGGAACAAGAATTCCTAGTTAAGGTTCTACAATGCAGAGGGCTTGGGCCCACTGATTTTTGAAGACAAAATATAAAAGAAAGGGTTCACTTAGGAAATCAAGAAACTATGACCAGATATTAAGGCCTAGACTAAGACTTCTCTAAACATGCACATTTTCCCTTTTCTTATATTAAGACAATAACAAAAACACTCACCAGGAAGGACTTTGTCCTCTCCCTAGGGACCTAGAGTAAGGGAGAAAGGAAAAGTTTGTTTTCTTTCTGGCAAATGAAGCCAATTTGCAAAGACCCAAGCTAGGAGGTGAGGTGGCGATATTTGATGTCTGGAAGCCAAACCTTGTGATTTGGCTGGGTGGGGGTCAGGGAGCAGTGGGAACACAGATCATAGGTCTCTCCTTTCACATGAAAGAATATTTAAATCTGATTTTTTTGTCTTATTCTGATTCACTAAAAAATTAAAACATTATGAATCTGCAAATATACAATGACTTTTCTTTGGTAATAAGGAATTCCACAGCTACTTTAATTTAGAACCAATAGATTTATTTTGTGCTTTAGATATTTTACTGCTATAATGTAAAATTCTTGGGTTTTAGGAAATGGTCATTTAAAAATAATACATCCTTTGAAATGATGACTAGTTTGGCTATATTCATTAATAATAATATTAGTGTTTCATTTACCTTTTCTTCTTGTGTTTTATATTTTGATGCATTTTGTTATATTTTTCCTGCAGAAGTTCTTTTTCAGGAAGCAGAAACTTCTCTCTGACTTTCCCCCAGGCCATAGCCACTTCTTCTATGTTCTTTCTGATACTGATACTGAAATTGTCTGGCTCTTGGCCCCAACAGCTGAAAAATATAGACGTACAACATAGAATACATCATCATAAAATCAGACTTAAAACTGAAACCCGAACCTCAGTGGCCACCTAATTTAACACTCTCATTTTATAGATGAGGGTATTTTTGAGTGTACAAAGGACTGATTTTTTGACTTTTTTTCCCCATAGAGTTGGCTGTGTGGACATGGCCTCAAGCTCCCAAAATATTTAACATACTACTTTTCTACACCATTTGATAGCTTTCTGCAGAAGTCTGTAAGTAGGGCCTTTAACTGATTCCATTTTCTAGGTTAATTTTCTTTCTTCCACATCATGGCTAGAGAAATAAAAAATGCATTGAAATTTTAATTACTCTGTAATTTTTATGAATATACTTTTAATACCTGTATTGATTTTTGCATTATAATGTGAAGATGAAATTTGATATCTAGATTGTAAGAATTTATTTTTGCTAATCTGATTGTTCAGACCTGCCTGGGATGCTGTTTTAATTAAGTTGCAATTATTTATATCTTTCCTCCCATCCCCTCCCTGCTTCTCCCCACCTTTTTTTTCTGAGCATCTTGTTCAAAGACTTTAGAAAACTCTCAGATACTGCATTTGCTATGTTTGTCATTTTCCCTTGCTAAGGCTTTTTTTCCCCTCTTCATTTTCATCTTACGGCAGATGGTATCAGAGGGAGAACCCCGCCCTGTTTAGGCACCTAGACCGACGTGCTTGTTCATCTCGGAACTCTTGCTAACACCTTCACTGTTATCCTCAAGTCCCTGGTAGTGTACACTGGGATTCATCCTCACAGGTGCATATCCCACAATGAGTAGGCTGCCAAGTGTGAGATTTTTGATAAATACTGTGCATTTAGCCAGTGGACACCCCTATCTTTTGATATGCCATAGAATCAGCTCCCTAGAACCATTAGCCTCCCCACTTACATTGGTCTCAGGTATCAATTGAATGATACTTGCAAGGGAGTACCATCACAGCTACAAAAGTTATTTTAATAGTGTTCTCCCGGGGGAGGGGAAGGAAGGGGATTCTCTGTTCTGACCTTGGCTTATAATACCCTTACTTCTTTTAGACAGACTTACCTCTTTTGGTCCTTTTTATTCTTAGTAATGTACTGTTTATATTGAGTGAATACATTCAATAGAATGGCAGAGGGGGAGATAGGAATACTCAGTCCTTTGTCATGCCTCACCAAGAATCCCGATTTAGTGACTCAACCTGTTTAAACTCTCCTCAGGACAACTGGAATCAAATATCAAATTGTGTCAAGGGGGTTCTTCATAATTAAAAGTTAAGCTGAACAATAAGGGGGTAAAAATTAGCCCGAGAGAGAATTAGGCATGCAGATAAAGGGGTGTGTACTCTAGCCCGGGAGAATCACCACCAGCTACAGATTTCAGCCTCATGTCATACAACTCTTTCCTCCACTCCTGGATCTCTTTTCCTGGTTTTCATCCATGCCAGAGCTGTTAGGACATAAACTAAGGAAAAACTAAGAGGAATGTTTTTTTTTCACTGACTATATTGCTCCTTTGTATTATGGATCTATGTTGTAAGGCTATATAGTCCATCTGTGTACTTGTATCAATAGACAGTGTGACACAGTGGATAGGGAGCTGGTCTTGAAGACAGGAAGTTCTGGGTTCAGATTTTGCCTCCTGACACATACTGGCTATGTGACCCTGGATGAATCATTTAATCTCTCAATGTTCCAGGAAACTCTCTAAGATTATAAGTTGCAGAGTAACTACATGGATTGAAGGAGTTTCCTCACTGGGAATTCCCAATTGCAATGAAATCACAAATTAGTCTAGAAAATAATTGTAAGGCTAAACTGCATCATGGATGATAATGTCCATGTTAATTTGAGTCCTTTGAAAATGAGTAAATCAGTTCCATACATATATGTTTAATATGACAATGATATTTTTGGTCATTTTCTCATTTTTGATAACTAAAAACCATTTCTGGTCACATACTATGCTCCATCCAAATTGGCCTGCTTACTATTCCTCATACACCACATTTTATTTCTTGCCGCCATGTTTTTCCACGTGTCTGAAATGCTCTCGCTTCTCCCCTCCTCCTTTCAGAACTCTTAGCTCTACTCTGGGATCAGCTCAAGTGGCATCTCTTTCAAAAGGCCTTCCCTGAGCCTCCTAGTCATTAGTCCCCCCACCCCCACCCCATATATTTATTTTGTACTAATTTGTCATGATCATGTGTATTAATCTTCCACCTTTCCCAAACTCCTCAAATATTGACCACCCCCATCTTTTGTGTTATCTTTGCCACTTTGCTTGGTGTAAAGCGAAACATGAGAGCTGTTTTGATTCATGTTTCTCTTGTTATTAGTGACTTGAAGCATCCTTCTTATGGTTATTAATAGTTTGCGATTTTCTTTGGAAGGCTATTTTGCTTATGTTCTTTGGCCAGATATGTGACCATGAGCAGGTTAGCTGCTCAGAGTCTCAGTTCCTCTTCCGTAAAATGCGGATAACCATATTTTCACTGTCTATTTCACAAAGTTGAGGATCAACTGAGATATATGCATATAACACTTGGTTTATGTATATCTATCTATCTATCTATCGACAGACAGATAGATATAAAATGCTATGTAATGCAAATTACTATTTTTTTTTGGTGTCCACAAGACTTAACTTCTTAGCACAATGTTTGACACATAGTAGGATAGTAGGTGTTTAATAAATGTCTGTTGACTTGACATTATCATGATCTAACTGGGAGGCAAGGCTTTACATTGTATTTTGTTTTGCCATGGCCACTCTAGGCACTGACTTTACCTGATTGGCTCCACCACCCTTCAGCTGAGGCCATGTATATAACCAAAGCACTTGGCAGTTATAAAGAGCTATATAAATACAAGCTATTATTATCAGTATTTAAGTGGAAAATAAGATTACAAACTGTGCTTAGTTGGGGACAGAACCACTGAGGGACTTGATCTCTCTGATTGCCCCTATGACACTCCCCGGGGTTCTTACCCTGAGGTCTGTCAATATTTTTTAATCATTTTGATAAGTGTATTTGAACATAATTGACTCATTTTGTAATCTTATGTATTTTATATTGTGCATGTAAAATTATTATTCTCAGAAGGTAGCCATGGGCTTCACCAGCCTGCCAGAGGGTTTGTGACACACACACACAAAAGGCTAAGAAC